GTCGAGACAGTGCATCGGCTTGTCCGAATTCGGTCGTCTTGCGGTACTCCAGGTCAAAATCGTATGCGAGTAGAATGAGCTTCCGCCGTTGCAATCTGTTCGCTGCGTACACAGGCACCATCTTCTTGGGCCCGAAAATGTGTAGTAGCGGCTTGTGATCGGTAAGCAATCTGAACCGTCGTCCGTATATATACTGATGGAACTTACGAACCGCGAACACCAGTGCTAGTCCTTCCTTTTCAATTTGTCCGTAGTTCCTTTCTGCTGCTGTGAGGGTTCGGCTTACATGGCAAATAGCCTTTTCTGTACCATCCGGCATCTTATGCAGAATTACAGCACCGATTCCGTAGTCCGATGCGTCGGCAGCTACTACTATATGCAATTTTGGATCGAAATGTGTAAGGAGTAGATCCGAAGATAAAACCTCCTTGACACGCTTAAATGCGTTTTGACATTCCCCTGTCCTTTCGAACTTTGCATCCTTTTTGAGCAATGCGTCCAAGGGTGCACGAAGCTGGCGCATCTCTGCTACGAACAAACCATAGTAGTTGATCATGCCGAGAAATGATCGAACATCGGCTATATTCTTTGGAGCTGGCATCTGTTAAATAACTTCAATTTTCTTTCGATCCAGCCGGCGCGTTTTTATCGATAATGCAACCTAAGTAACAGATCTCTGGCATTAGAAAGCTGCATTTTTCCAACCTGACGTGGAATCCGTAATTCTTGATTTGCTTGAACAGGGCTTCCAAGTATTGGCGATGCTCCTCATAACTCCTTCCTGTGATGATGATGCCATCAAGATAAGCGGCTACTCCATCAAGCCCACTTATCATGAAATCCATAATCTGCTGGAATATACCTGGAGCCGATTTTACTCCGAATGGCAAGCGATTGAAGTGATACAATTCCTTGTGCGTGTTAATAGTTAGCATCTCCTTCGATGCTTCCTCAACTTCCACTTGTGGATATGCCTCGGCCAAATCGGGCTGCGTGAAGAGCTGGCCTCCATTGAGCTTGGTGAACACATCCACCGCTGTGGGCAATGGGTGCTGATGCAGCTGCAATGCATCGTTGAGTCCTGTCGAGAAGTCGGCGCATAGACGAGTCCTGCCATTTTTCTTCTTGACGGCGACTATCGGTGCGGCCCACTTTGAGTGCTCTACAGCAGAAATAAGTCCTTCGGCTACCAGCCGATCAATTTCTACCTTCAGTTCCAGTGCTGTGGCGTATGGAACTGGTCTCTTCTTCTTGAAGATCGGGACAGCATTCTTTCTTCAAGACTAACCTAGCCTTGCTCTTCTTACATTTCCCTAGTTCGCTCTTGAAGACATCCGGATACTTGTTCTTCAAATCGGCGACAACTTCGGCTCGAATTTCTTCTTCGCTAGCCACCTTCTTACAGTTGTACTTGGTCTCAACTTCTTGTAGGCTGGCAATTAGATGCACCACTCCAATCCCAGGAGGTTTGAGCCTTCGGTGACATAGCATGTTCCTTTTCCATGGACCATCCGTCCTGTAACTCGATCTTTGACCTTGAAATCAGTTAAAAATTTACCATCGATCTGCATTGGCGTCCCATCTGCCGTTTTTACAGGCATCGCACAGGGTTTTAAAGCCGGAGATCCCGTCCTCTTCCAGGCTTTACGGGATATCAGCGTTATATCCGCACCCGTGTTCAACTGGAGCTTGAGAGGGCATCCTCTGACGACAACGTCGAGGTAGGTGCGGGCATTTTCGGCGTCGAAGGCGATCACGTTCTTGCATTGTCTTCCTCGACCATAGGGCTGAGTCCCTGTCTTTCGTCGCTTCCTTCGGCCAGTCCTAGCTGGTTGTGGACAATCTCTGCTGGAATGCGGACCTCCACATCTAAAACAATCCACCTTTTTTTCCACACCGCATAAACATCTCGGGTTCCTTCCATATTCGTGTTGTCCATCTTCGACGCGGTCTAATTCTCGCATTCGCTGACCAAATCTTCGATTGTCAGCGGTGTTTCGTCCGTATGTGCATCCAGTCTGCGAATCATCCTGAGGCGGACGTCTCGCGGTGACGGGTCTTGAAGACCGGCTACGAATTGTAGGGTCTCCAATACTGTGTAGTCGAGCTCGTCCTCGGTTGGTGGTGGAGTTCTTCTTGTCCTTGATCCTGATCGCCAGTTGATGTGGAACGCGTTGAGCTGTTGACGATTTATTAGAAAAACAACAAGAGTTTCCCCTCTGCCTATCGGCGTACATGCCGAGGGTTCACTAGGAATAGTTTCCATAACAACACACAAATATATCAAGATGCGGCGGCCGCAACCACGGAGACCATATCGCCCTAACCTATAGTGACCGAGCAAGTTCCAATATATGGGATGGCTCTAAAACAGGAACCTACAGACAGCATTAACAACACGCAGGCATGCTTATCCACCATCCTACAGACAAGTGTACCATTCGATTTATTAGGGTGAACAGTAAAAAATGGGACAGCTTGATTTTTTTTTACATTTTGAAGTTTTTTGTTCTCACCAACAACAAGCAGGCTACAACTCAAACTTCGCTTACATAAACGACCTTCGCCTATCATTCTGGCAACGTGTTACCGCTCCTCTCTCATAACCGTACTCGTGGCGCCGTGAAGAACTCAGACAGGGTTTTTGGAACAGTTCTCAATCTTGCGCTGCTATACCGTAAAGTCGTAAAGCAGATTACCATTCGAAAGAGCTTTTCATGCTTTCATGCTTTCTTTCAATTGGTATGTTAAATGCATAAGATTTCTTTTCAATTTCAAAAAAAGCGAAAAAACCCGAAAAATAGCTATTTTTGGCCCCTTTTAAAAACAAAAATCATGTTTTGCCCTATATTTTCCAAAGATGGGTAAAATCTGAGATAAGCTGCATATGGATGGATAGAGCACAAAAAGCTCTGTCAGATGGTACCTTTAAAACATGCGTTCACTTGCAAAGAATTGAATAGCGCGTGTCTTTGTCCTCAAAGCTGCTAATGGCCATATCTCCTGACTTCGAAAGTTGAGACCACCAAGCCGTCGTGGGTTTAGTGGCTGTCCCACCACCCACTCCAGCAGTGGTACTTTGGGTGGTCTCAGATGTTTCGCTGCGCAGATACTGCTCAAACTTCATAATTCATCGAAGTGACTAACTTTGTATTTCAGCAGTACAAAAATTATCAATTATGTAAATCTTATATATAAAGCTGAATGTCTGTTTGTATGTATGTCTGTCTGTATGTCTGTCTGTATGTCTGTGTGTACGTATGTTCCGAATAGAAAATTCCATTTCTGAACCGATCCGGACCAAACTTGGCACACATACACTACGGGCCCCGGCGGGTGTCATAGGCTACTTTTCGTCATCGATCGATATCGATTTTATCGATTTTTATCGATTTTTTTGCTGAGTTCACCTACGGGGCTGGGAGTTTGCACAGGGGGGTAATCGAGCATGGGGATTCCGAATACAATATTGGTTTTCAGGATTATCGATTACTTTTATCGATTTTATCGATTTTTTTGCAAAGTTTGAGCTACGGGGCTGGGAGTTGGCACAGGGGGGTAATCGAGCATGGGGATTCCGAATACAATATTGGTTTTCGGGATTATCGATTACTTTTATCGATTTTATCGATTTTTTTGCAAAGTTTGAGCTAGGGGGCTGGGAGTTGGCACAGGGGGGTAATCGAGCATGCTGATCATCCCCAAGGGGGGTGATCAGCATGCTCGATTACGCCCCTGTGCCAAATTCCAGCCCCCTAGCTCAAATTTTCAAAAAATCGATAAAATCGATAAAAGTAATGGACGATCCTGAAAACTAATATTGTGTTCGTAATCAGCATGCTCGATTACCCCCCTGTGCAAAATCCCAGCCCCGTAGCTCAAACTTTACAAAAAAAATCGGTAAAATCGATAAAAGTAATGGACGGTCCTGAAAACTAATATTGTGTTCGTAATCAGCATGCTCGATTACCCCCCTGTGCAAAATCCCAGCCTCGCATGTCAAAATTTACAAAAAATCGATAAAATCAATAAAAGTAATCGATAATTCTGAAAACTAATATTGTATTCGGAATCCCCATGCTCACTTCCCCCCCTGTGCCAACTCCTAGCCCTGTAGGTGAACTCTGCAAAAAAATCGATAAAAATCGGTAAAATCGACATCGATCGATAACGAAAAGTGGACTGTGACACCCGCCGGGGCCCGAAGTGTATGTGTGCCAAGTTTGGTCCGGATACGGCGGAGCCGGGTAAGCCAGCTAGTGATCTTATATAGGTATCATCTGAAAGATAATATCTATCAAAAATGGAAAGTCTGATCGCTTCTCATTCTTAAGAAACCTCCACTCATTTCGTAAGTGTCCCATTTTTTACCGTTCACCCTAATATATAGAGAATTACTCGTCATGCTTGGTACGGCCTTCATGTTATGCCTATTTTCGGTAAGCAAGTTCAGGAAGTCTTATTGAGACGACAGTTAGGCGGGGGGGGGGTCTATCTAGCCATCGTTTGCCACGCCTCTTGCTCGGCCCTAATTATCATGCTAGCTCTTGAAAGCAAAAATGGATTATGTTGACGACTGAAGACAACGTGTACATCACTAAACGCGTTTTCAAAAGCCGATCAAATCTGCTTTTTCGCGGAACAACCCCTTGAAAGAAGTTATGGCATTTTGAAGGTCCAAATCTGTCAACCCTTGAGTGGCGTGAAGTAAGGAAAAGCTGTACAAACATCCAAAAGCGATCGATCAATTGTATCAAATATGTTAACTATAAAAGATAGCATGAAAGTCCGCATAAATCAAAGCTTGCCTATAATTTTATGCCACTCAAAAATTTGCAAGGACATTCAAACGCTCATAACTTTTTTCAGTAACTTACTCCCAAGAGGGGAGCAGAATTGGAGTGAGCATTTAAAGACACATCTAGTGATATACACCACGTCTTCCATCGCCAGCTCAAGTGGTATCTTTACTTGTTAATGATTTTTCTAAATATTTACAGCAAGTTCCCTATGCCGCTGATATTCCGGGAAACTTCTACGCAAGTCGTCGGCTCTTTATTTCCGGAATCGTTCCCAAAGCAGCAAAGCAGTTTGTCATTGACTTTCATGCGGGAATGGAGCTAGCTACAAGAGTTAGAATTGTATTCCCGTTAAAAGTGAGTTTCTATTTTTTTTTTGGAACACCGTATTACGCTCATCCATTTAGAAAGTTCTTCGCACCTCTAGAACAAACGAGCGGTGGGGCCCGGAGGAAAGGATTGGTGACTTTGCGTTCCCCTTCAAAAGGAAGCACACATTTGATTTGTTGATCTACTGTAGTGAATCCAAATTTGAGGTGCGACAAGCAATTGTCATTAGGTACTTAATTACCAATCCGGTAAATTTAAGATGTTCGTCAATGATTGCCTCTTCGCCACTTTCGATCATCGCATACCTCCAAGTCAGATAAACAAGCTTTCCATCGAGGGAGATATAAGTCTTCTTGGAGTGCATCTCAAATAGCCATGGTCGGCATGAAGACATAACCACCACTTGTTGCTTAGGGAACTTCCATACCGTGCCGGTAGCGGCATTTGCAGCTGTGGAACATGTTATTTGCTCAGGTCGCATGCGTGCAAAAGTCCGAATACTTATCCACTTTCTGTCAATCACTCTACAGCTTTTTGCCAAATTTCTGCCTGCAGGCTAATTTTGAACAAAACTATTTAGGGTTGTAGAATGAAGTGGCACGCCATCGAAAGGGCATAAGAAATAGCCGGACAAGATTAGGAATTTTTATTTCGATGCTATGCGAAATCAAAGGTTCTGGCATGCAGCGCTGAATTGAGGTAGCTTAGATAATTGACCGCGTGCAACCAAATTTGAGGATTTTTTTTAGATTTTGTTAGGGATCCTCCTTATCAGGTCTCTGCCCAACCCCTTTTAATAAAGCCTTTCCTACGTAGAGAAAATCGCGCTCAAAGTAAGGCGCGGAGGGCGTTTCGGTGCTTTCCGCGCATCTCTGACAGTGTCGGTTTCTCTAAACGTTTCATCAAGTAGTACTTCCAGACGAAGCCCTGCTTTTGAGTGTTTGACTCTGCGGCCAAAGCTAAGGTAGATCGGTGCAGCTCGTCCGCATTGCTTCTACAAATATTCCAAAGGACGGGGTTTACGCTAATTTGAACCCGTATAGGGTTATATAAGGCGGGAAGGCTTGAAATTACAAAAATCCCAAGACTTGAATTTTGCTGGAATACTGCATTTTATGCGGCAAGCGACCAGATAGTTTTGGAAGTCGAAGAACTCATTTTTAAGCAGAGTCTCTTTCAACTGCAAAATTCCAATTTCAGTATTAGCATAGACCTGCAACGATTTTGCGTCTACTACTCTAAAATGCGTCCGCTTTCCTATTCTTGGATTGATGGCTGAACAAAGCCTATCTGTGATATTTTGATTCCTCCAGAGTCGCTTTTCGAGTTTAGATATGGCCGACAGTGTAGCTCTTCGCCTTTCAGTAGCATGGCTCCGGCGGGTAACTACTTCATATTCGCGCGGAGCCCGCTGATGAACACTCATTGCACCATTCACGATGATCCAGATAGAAAGCGCGGACTCCGCAAAAGTGGGAAAAGCTAAGATTAAAGGTGTAAAAAAATAAGACGTCTTGCAACAATCTTTAACACTTTGAATTGAGATCCGGTCTTCAATGCAGCGAGGAACTGAGAAAAAGCTGTAAAATGATCACTAAAAAGAAGATGGATTGATTTTTGTAAAGCAAGCATATGCTAAGCGTGCTTTAAACGCAGCGCCCAGGTTTGGACACATGGGGATGGTTGAAATTGGAACTGGAAATTGACTTGGGTGCCAACTAAGACACTGCTTAAACTGCAGCGCAGATGGTACACTCGCGGTTGAGATATTCGCCACAAATCAACTTCGCTACCATACCTGACGGACGACTATCGGCCTGACTCGCATTGCATGCAGACCCACCGCAAACGCGCTGGAACCCCGCGCAAAACCCTGCAAGACTAGGCAAGCCGTCGCTAGATACGGTACTGGAAACAGGTGCCTGGACGCTGCCTCTACTGCAAAAACAGCTACCCGCTACAAAAGCTTCTATAGAAACGGTATGGAAGGAGCTCTCTTGCGTCCCAATTCACTCTTCTTACTCATGTGCCCAGCTTCCATACGGATGAAAAATTCTGAATTTGAGTGCATTGATTATTCGGTAGTTCTTGAGTCTTGGCATGATGAACAGTTATTGGTGTGGATTTCAGCTTAGACTGAGATTGGTATTCAATTTTTTTACCGTCGACGGTTCGGCGTTCAACGCCTTCTTCGAAGCCTGGACGAAGTCATCGTAAATGACTATGCGCTCACACCTCAAGAACTAAGACTAAATAAAATTGAAAAGAAGACGAGTCCAGGAAGCAGAAACAGAGCCAGAAACACTTTCCACTCACCTTAGAGGTAACACAAGAGGTAGTCAAAAAACAGACCACCTTATGCCAAACTATCCTTCAACTCACTTTTAAACGCTAAAGTACCTGAGCATGGTATGTATCAATCGCCCGCCCGGGTAAAGGTTCCAATTCAGGTGCAGGGTCAAGCGTGTGATGCGACTGTCGCAACGGGGGGTCGTAAAGGGGGCCTACGGTGAGGGGAGGAGGGTCGTAAGAGGGGGTAGTTTGGATAAAAAACTGTACGATTGGAAGCAAATCAAATAGCAAGTAATTATTACATGTACTTAACAATAAATTCATGGAATGCCGTGTACCAATGTATCAAATAAAAACGAGGTGAACAATAATTTGAAAACATTTGCAAGCGTAGAAATTCGCTTCATTTGCTGCACTTTTGAAAAAAATTTTTTCATGGGAATCGCTATTTCTCCCGCAAAATATTGTCTCAAACGGGGATCGAACCTTGCTGGCATGACTAAAATCCAAAAAATAAACACTTTAAGAAGCTCAAATGCTACTAAAGGCATGTATGTGTGATAAAGATGTTGGATGTACCGGTTGGTATAGACATCCTGCTTCCGAAGGCTCACTGAAGACTCGCACACTCGACAAAAGCGCACACGTAGGTCAACGATGACAATCAATAATTCGTAAATCTTTTTGTAATGCCATTTATGCGGCCCTTACAATTTATATGTACTTTAGATAAGCCCTGCTACTGCTGTGCGAAATCTGGTGTTTTTTTATAAACTGCGGATTTTCTTATGATTTTATGTATGGTAGCAAAAAATGAGAAGAGGGGGGGTCGTATCTGCGCCTGATCTAAATTTCTCCGGAGCTATTGAAGCTTGTTAGCTGCAAACTTGCTGTAATACGAGGCCATCCCTCTAGTTTTTATCAAAAGAATTTCAGGATGTTTTATAATTTCTCTGGTAATTTACAAAATTTTAAGCTCAAAAATCCCAGTTTTTGCTTTTTAGGATCGCATCTAAATTTGCGAGAGCCTGATCTAAATTTTTTCGAGCTCACTGCTCCTCAAGGGCTGAAACTTTTTCTATGAATAGTACTCTGCGTTGATACCACTGCTTGTTTTGCAGCCTCTCAGTCTTTTCCTGGCCTTGATTACGAAATTTCAAACTACCGTGCTCATGCACGTTTTTGACGTCGTTCTGGACGGCGCTCAAGCGGTTTTTTTCGCGGGAAAAACTGTGGAAGAGGTAAGAACTGAGCTTCTTAGTCGAAAAACATCTTTTATACAAGAGTGTCATTTTGTTCTCCGTGTAAAAATTTGTGTCGCATACGGGAATCGAATTTGCTGGTCTGAAGTATGCCTGAAAATTCAAAAGTAAACTTGCAGAATCTCAAACATTATTGAAAGTGTGTATATGTGCTAGAGATGCTGGGCGCACCCACTGGCCTAAAAATTCTGCTTCCGAAACCTCACTGAAGTTCTCACGCAGGTGTTTTTTGAGATTGACATTCGTTTATGCAGCTTACCGCGAGAAATGTGGGCAGGGGAGGTAAGGGGGATAGATGGGGGAGGGGGGAGGGAGGGAGGGGGGAGTACTCTGCGTTGATACCACTGCTT